GGCAGTTTGATCTGCTGAAGCTGCCATGAAACGGGCTCATCATCTGTCAGTATGTAGTAAACCCATGACAGGGAAGGAGGAAGACCAAGAACCTTCACTGTTAATGAAAATCCCGACAGAAGAAAACCAGAATCCTAAACAATTCAGTCCGCTGGATCATCAGCAATGACTTCCTTCCAGACTCCCTGGACCCACAAAGCAGAAACAGTAGCTGCATTTACACTGACACAAGTAATCAGACTGAAGGCCCGATCAGATTAAAAAACTTTCATGTAAATATGTCAGACTGACGATCGGCGTCACACCCGCTGGCATGTTAGACACTAGCACTATCAGCGTGAAGTTTTTCTGAAGATTTGGCTTAAATGATTTAATGATTGAACACTGGGTACATGTAAACACACGTGATGAACGGGTCATTTCATTCAGCGTCCACCTAAGCAGGGAGTTCTAGATCGGATCGGGAATATATTTTTTAAACAAATAGATAATTTCTTACTTTCTGTTTGTTTTATTGGAAACAGTCTTGCAGTTATTGGTCATAAGGGATCGACGGTTGGTTCACCAGCAGAAGTTCTCCACAAAATCATTAAACAACATAACAAAGAAACATTTATTATTGATGAAAATATAAAGCATGTGATTAAAGTAAGTGAGCCCAGCTGTTGGTAGGGTGCTAACATTAGCATGTTCTTCACCCCTGTCCCACAGTCCCATTATCTCCAGTGCACTGAGGCCCACCTAGAGTTTGCAGGTGTGCAGTGCTCAGTCTTTGAGTCTCCGTATCCCATGACGATGGCTCTGTCTGTGCTGGTCACCATAGAAATGTGCAACGCCTTGAACAGGTAGGACGGTAGCAAAGCCCCAGTTTTAGCTGAACGGTTAACTGAAGGCATCTAGTTCCTTCAGGTTTTTTTATCTCAGCTGATCAGAACCATGTGTTCTCTGGTTCTGCAGTCTTTCAGAGAACCAGTCTCTGCTAAAGATGCCTCCGTGGTCAAACCCCTGGCTGGTGGGGGCCATCTTCCTCTCCATGTCTCTTCACTTCCTCATCCTGTATGTGGATCCTCTGCCGGTGAGAATCACACAAAGCTCTCAGATGTTTTAGGAGAACAACAGCCAGCACGCTCTGTTTGTGTCCACAGGTGATTTTCCAGATCCGTCCTCTGTCCTGGACTCAGTGGGTGGTGGTCTTGAAGCTGTCGCTGCCCGTCATCCTGATGGATGAGGCTCTCAAGTTTCTGGCCCGGAACTACATAGAGCCAGGAAGCCAGGTGCTGATGGGATGAGATCCTTCTACCCAGGCTTTTCATCGCATGTCGTCTGATCTTTTTTAACCTGATTCCCCTTTCAGTCGCTAGAGGAGGAGGAGCTGCAGAGGACGTGGGCCAGCATGGGACTGGTGGCCTCCAGCGTGTCCAGGCTCCGTCAGGCGCTGAGGGGCCTGTCCTGGGCGTTCATCCTGATTTCTGCACCGCTGCTGATCTGGATCTTCAGCCTGGACTCCGACATCACCAACATCTTCTGGGAGTGAGATGGGAGGATGGGAGGTGGCCTCCTGACTCACAGGAGATCAAGAAGGGGGGGGGGGTTAGTCACATGGAACACAGAATAGTCAGTCCACACGTTTCCCTTAAGAATAAGAAGTGTTTTTCTTGTCCTGTGTTGCTGCTGCAGCCTTATAGTCTATAGAGAGGACAGGGAGAGGCGGTCCTCCAGGGACATGCAGCCTGTTCTGGAAGCAGCTGAGTCTTTAAGGCTTCTCTGAGTCTGAAGGATCCAGACTGCAGCAGGTTTCTCTTCTTTTTAGATGTTGATGAGACCCCATCATGTTACCATGGCTGCGTTTCAGAACCTCCTCGTATTCTGGTGCTGAGTGGCGTTGAAATGTTTGCCTATTGGCCTTCAGACTCAGAGAAGTCAAAGCTTTTTCACTGCAAAGATTGAAATCTAAGCAAGTCCATTTTTCTTAAAATAAGAGCATTTTCTTCTTGAATTAAGCAGTTAAGTGATACACTTTGCCAATGGAATATGACAATTCACATTAAAAAAACAAACAACTGCAGTCTCTTATTTCAAGTGCATTTTATCTAACGATCTTATTTTATAATTATTTTGAGAGTAAACACACTCATTAAGGGTAAAAACACTAAATTAAGCAATTGCTTGACTCATTTTTAGTTTTTTTTTGTAGTGTTGTTGAGGAAATTTAGGGAAACCCATGATGGTTTCAGTCATATGGAGGATTAAATGCTACACTGGAAAAAAGATTCATTTTTTCATAAAATAAGTCAATTTGTTCTTGAATTGAGGAGGTAAGTGAGACACTTTGCCAATGGAACAAGACTATTTATATTTAAATAAGAAAAAAAACCAATTTAATTCTCTTATTTCAAGTGCATGTTATCTAATTATCTTATTTTAATAGTAAAATTACTAATTCCATTGGCAAATCATCTTGTGTACCTACTCAAATTAAGGGTTATTAAAAAATGTTGACTTATTTCTAGATCATGTTTGCAGTGAATGAGGATCAGAATATGACTTTACTTTATGCATCATGAAGCCCTGACTGAAAAGGCAGGCATCTGTCTGGTTGCAGCCTTTCTGGCTAAAGATAGATGCATGAAAATAAAGACAAGGAGAATAAAATCATCAAAGGGGAAGTAGATCTATAGGTTAAGACCATCAATGTCTTTGTGAAGTTTTAGCTTCACCCCTCCTGAAAGTTGATTTTATTAATTGTTGTTCTGATGTTCTTTGCAGCACTCTCTTTTTTTATTGGTTTTATTGTATTCGAAGCAAAGGAGAGAAAACATCTAACTGTTTTAAGCAGAAAATAGGAATTTATCACTTTCCATTTTTACTCATATTAAATTGTATAAAAAAAAAAACTTGCCATAGTTTGTTTCCACTGTTTCTCAGCTGGTTGATGTTTCGTGTTTTGTTTTTTTTTTAAGTTGAACTTTCCATATTATGCTTGTCTGTTTGAAATAAAGATGAAACTGAAGACCATAAACGTTTCCTTTCCTTGACATTGTTGCTGATTTTGTTTAGATTTGGCTTTAATTGACTCGCTGGAGACCAGAGAGGTTAAAATGTTATTCTAAACTCTTCCTTCTGCTCTATCAACACCCATAATGGGCGTTTTCCAGGTTTTAAAATCTAAATAAAAATAAATAGGGTAACTGGTGGATTTTTTTGATAGATAAAGCTGAGGAGCATTAGCATAACAAAACACATTTAAAGTTCATGTTTATGTCTTATCACATTGCAGCTGATGAAAAGAGAAAAGGTCCAATCACTGAGCCCTGTGGCACCTCACAACTAACCGAAACACTATGAAGATTTAACATGCTTTCTGCCAGAGGAAAGACGTCCAACTTTGCTTAGAAAGGTTTGAATTCTCTGTAGCAACCAAGAGGACCCTCCCTCCTGGACAGGATTCCTTCATATCTTCACTTTAAAGGATCAAAGAAATCACAAATTCAATGTAAAGTAGCAGCCATTCAAAAAGGCCCTTCCTAGCTGAATGGCAGCCCACTTCCCTGGAACTCCTGGCAAAATCCCCTCCAACTCCCAAACTGGAGTGACCCCCTCCTTCTCCTGGGTGTGCACATTTTTTACTGACTCCACCCTTCTACTGAATTACAGGGTCTGCCCAGGAGATGACGCTTCTCTTTAGATCTTGCAATGATAACAGGAAGGAATCAACCCCC